AGGCAAGTGGGAACCGATGACATGTGCCAACGAAGTCAGCGAGCGTGATCACCGGTTCCCGCTAGTCGCCGCTTACGACAAGTATATGGGCTGCAGAAGATCAATTCTAACCCGGATCTTCACGGGTCAGACCAGTGTGACCGCTAACGACAAGCCGAGGTTCTTAAATCTATGTTAGAGTGGGAGTAACGACCATCGTAGCGCTGAAATAGCTTTGTGCAAGTGGGCTCAGGGACCTGTATTCGTAACCGGACAGAATGAGTATGGTTTTACGCCGCCTTAGCAATGTTCCAGCAATATCACGGCGGGGACACCATATATGGGCAACGCGCATTGTACCCAAGTGGGGAATCGATCTTGGGTCCATGGCGTGACGAGAACGCTATAAATGAAAGCCTCATGATGAAAGGTACAAATATACAAAGGCATGCTATGAGCGAGGTCAACGAGCCCGACACATAACATCTGTGTTTTATATGAACACCATAGTACGTATAGCAACCGAGAGTTAGGCTGCAACAAAACAGAAATGTTTCGGGCACATTTTTTCTCAAAAGTGAGGAGATGATATCTATCTATCTTACGGGACTCCCTGACGCTGAAGCGACGAAAGATCTTTTATCATCCAAAACTGTGTTCCACAGTAGATATCGCTTGTGTGAGATCAGACGATATCTCCTAGGAGATATCGTTTAGACAGTACATTTTGTACAATGCCCTGACAATGCTATGACGTCATAAACTTGTTGACGTCACAATGTTATGACATCGCTGAACTGCAAATCTAATGGCAGTACCGTGTTCAGAGATGTACATTTTTCATTGAAAACTAATGAAGAGTGATTTTAGATGATAAATGGAATCTCACCCTCGTGTCTTCTGATATCAAGCCTCGGATATTTGTTACTTATTAACTCGTGGTGATATATTTGATATCAAAAGACACTCGGGTGAGATTCTCTATGTGTACATAAAGGGGTTTTGACAAACACGGACATCTCAACTCTAATATATATATTTTTTTAAATGAAAAGTATAATGAAGGAACACTTAGCAGTGAGTGAGTGAGTGAGTTGGGTTTTACGTCGCTTTTAGCAATATTCCAGCAATATCACGGCGGGGAACTCCAGAAATGAGCTTCACACAATGTTCCCATATGGGAAATCGAACCCGGGTCTTCGGCGTGAAGGCGGAAACTTTAACCTCTGGGCTACCCCACCGCCCCTGGAACAAAATAAAAACAATATTGTGGATAAGAACTACAATTTTTCGGTACTTTACTGTACCGTGACACAGACTTGTTGACAACAGTATGAGGATGTATTATACAGACTAACACGGATGTTGTCCAGAATGTATTGTCTACATATTTTACAGATGTTACAGATATCAATAAAATGTTTTGTTTACCTTGTTATAGTCAGTTTCTAATAATGCTTGTTAAACAATTCAGAGGAACATATTATTTATATTTTTCACACCAAAGCCATCAAAAAAACATAATTTGACATACTTTGAACCCGGCTCTTTCATGATATCGGAAATGTTTGTTCTTTTTATTGATAACAAAGTGTGATTTCTACAACAAGGGGGCACTTTTTGTTATATTTGTTTATTGTTTTATATCACTATAATAACTGTGGATTTTATTATTTTCTATATTCAATGATAATGACTGGCGCACAGGATTTATTGTAACTCACTGAAGGTCGTGAAACATTTTAATTTTGGCCTTAGCGTTATCTGAAAGAGTGGACATGCGCACTGTATCAGTAAGCTATTTCGCAACATGTCTGTGGGCCTTCGTGACCCACTCGTGTTATTCCGGGAAAAGCCGAATGTGTTCACGGAATGGGGCGAGTGGTGACGAATGGCCTGTGGAGAATGAATCACATTCGGGCATGGTGTCAGTGGTGTCAGTGGAACAGATAACGATAATACATAGGTAAACATTCTTCCTGGGACTTCAATAACAATTTTAGGTAAAAAAGATGAACTATGTCATTGCATTCCCAGAACGATAGTAAAAATACACACGTGCTACCCTGGCTATAACGCCAATAATTGCCCAGCAAGATATGAGCGTTATAACCAAGATGTCGTCATGCTAGTGGTACATAAATAGATGCACTTTTACTAAAACAAATAGTGTTGGACAGAGATATATTTCTTCATTGCATACATTAGTAGTTACACGGTGTTTTGTAAGGGTGTACGGGACTATAGGACCCTTGTAAATTCCACAGGGGCTTGTAACGCTAAAACCTGCCATCAAGGTATGTACTGTCACTGACGGGGTCTTATCACGTTAGTGGCAGTACATACCTTGATGGTAGCAGTGATAAGACCCCGTTGATGGCAGTTTCTAGCGTTACAACTGACTGACTGAGTTTGGTTTTACGCCGCTTTTAGCAATATTCCAGCAATATCACGGCGGGGGACACCAGAAATGGGCTGCACTCATTGTACCCATGTAGGGATTCGATGCCGGGTCTTCGGCGTGACGAGCCAACGCTTTAACCACTAGACTAACCCCGCCCCGCATTTCTTGAGGCGCAGGAATAGGTAGTTAATAATAATTCATATGTAAATATACTCATAGGAACGAATACGGGAATACATGAAAGTACAAGTGTTCCTTTATTCTATTCCAGGTTTCTTCACAAGGTGTGTATTGCGCTGTGGGTGAAATTCTGGAAATAAATAAAGGAACACTTGTACTTTCATGTGTTCTCTTATTCGTTTCCATGAGTATATGTATACCATTTTTACTGTTTGTGTATTGGGTGGACATCGCAAAGTGATTGATAGAGCACTGCCATACTGATGTTTGGGGTGTGTTCATTTCTATTTCACTTCTAATGCTAGGCGCATTCTTTATCGTGTGTGGCAAGAACAGTTAAGTTATAGGCAGGGACGATTTCTTTGCTCATTCATGACAGTCACATGTTTTGTTTGCTTGTTGTTTAACGCCGCACTCAGCAATATTCCAGCTATATGGCGGCGATCTGCAAATAATCAAGTATGGACCAGACAATCCAGTGATCAACATCAATTTACGCAGTTGGGAACCAATGACACGTGTTAACCAAGTCAGCGAGCCTGACCACCCGATCCCGTTAGTCCCCTCTTACGACAAGCATGGGCTGCTGCTCTAAATGACCAGTTATAAATGCCTCAATTAACATAAAATAACATTCACTCACATTATGTCCGAACGCTATAAGAGAGCCATGTGTGTATATGAAAAGTAGAACGAAAACCAATTTTCTAACAGAAACATAGCCACCCGAACCCCTGCCATGACCCCACCCCAGCCCAGTAACTCCACGTGTCTCAGTTGTTTTTCTCTGGGGTTCTGTCAACCACGCACCTAATGACGTTTCCCACGCAATTAACACATAGCTGACGTTCGTAATTCCGTAATTCAGGTCACCGTGTCAAACTTGAAGGATTTTCTTTGAAATGTGTTATGTTCTGTTGACATAAATGAGGGAATGATGCAGTTAGGTTGAGGTTATAAGTCTTTACTTCGAAGCACATGGTAAGGTTACAACAAAACTGATACAATGGAATTAACACGGAATAAGAGCTAGGGTATAATTAAAACATTGTAGCTGCTAAGTGGAAAGGGCATTTCTTATAACATCTCCCTCCTTTAAGAGAGTGGTGAGATTTGAAATTAGGACGATCTTAATTTGAATATTGGTAGGTAATGATGAATGATAAACAACGTTCAGAGGTCATGTTGTGGAGTAATATCAGTTCACTGGCAACAGTTCTCTTTGGCACAGGGAAATTTAGCACAGATCATTATGACTAGATGTGAGGTACAGTGGAAATGCACTTTACTAAAACTAACTACTAACTAAAGTTCTTCCAACTTGGACGGTATGACCTTGCACTAATAAGATAAAGAGTTCGTTTATATTCACAGCTGTAGTGTTCAGTCTCTGTATTAAGCTGGCACTTTCACCATTCGGCCCGAACGAGTCTTCCTGGCTACTTGAGCCTGTGGCTGTGTGCTTTTTGGAGATGCAGGTTGCTTGATTTCCTGCACATCCTGAGTAATGGATTCAGGTTCAACAAATGTTACGTGTCGATTTTTTTTTTTTGGTGTGTGTGGTTTTTTTCACATTTTTTTTATTCACTTCACTTGGATACACTTTGTATGAAACAATCTGTGGACATAGTTTTGTAATGAAATAATATAATGGGTGGCATGTCACTCTGTTTCAAGTTCCACTGGGGGAAAAAGAGCATGTTACCTGTCGAGTTGCCTTACTTTCAGGTTTGTCCGTGAGCGAAAGTTTGGGTGTCTCGACTGGACGCTGGATGAGTTCACTTAGTTGTGGACGATTCCTTCGTAGTGTGTTGCCTGCTGCGGTGGGCACAATGAATGAACGGGGTGGAGTGACTCATCCTGTTTCAGAACTGTACCTGGGGTCCATGTCTTTGTATCATGATTGAAGATTCGCACTGCCTGGCCTGGCATGAGTGTAGGTAGCTCGTTGTGTAGTGCACGGTTATCATGATGACCTTTCATAGAATCCTGGCTCTGAAGGAGGTTGCTACGCTATTGTTCCGTGGTTGGTGAGGTTTCTTGGCGTGATGGCAGAGTCGTTGTAAGAGGTCTTCCGAATAGCACTTCTCCAGGCGAAGGGATGTCACTTGATACCGGAGTGGCACGGAGATGAAGTAGTGCTTGATCAATGTCCTTTCTCTCTACTTTTTAATGATTTGTTTAACCGTTCCAACCATACGCTCGGCTAGACCGTTAGATCTAGGGTAGTGAGGTGAGGAAGTCACATGAGGGATACCCTACTCTGCACAGAACTGCTTGAATGGAAATCCACTGTACTGTGTACCATTATCGCTGATTATGGTGTCAGGTTTACCGAACACAGAGCAAATGAATTTCATTTCATTGGTAACTGCTTGGCTTGATACAGGAACAGGCAATTGTCTCACAATTTGGTATTTTGAGAAGTTGTCGGTCACTAGTAGGAAGTGTTCTCCTTGATTTGGAACAAGTCTGTCCCAAGTTTGTGCCATGGCGACACAGGTACTTCGTGAGGTGTGAGTGGTTCCCGCTTATGTTGAGGATGGAGTTCTTGGCATGATGAACAAGATCTGACATGCTTCTCGATGTCCTTGCTGATTTGCGGCCAGTACACCGACTCACGTGCCAATTTTCTGGTCTTTTCTATCCCCTGGTGTGATAAGTGCAATTGGGACAAAATACCAGCGTGTAGTTTCTCAGGAATCACAACTTGTCTTCCCTTGAAGATAATACTATCTTCGACAGCAAGTTCATCCCTGAATGGCCAGTAGGATCTCAACACAGGTGTGACGGACTTGACTTTCTCAGGCCATCCTGTGTGAATGATTTCTCTCAGCATGTTGAGTGTTGGATAGGCACTTGTTTCGGCTTTCAGTTGGTGCTTCTTGGTAGTACCAAAGTTGATCAGGTCGATATTGAGGTCATAAATGTCATGCATATCAACACCATCGACTCGAACGTCAAGTAGTATCTCAGTGTAGTCATCTGTGTTAGGCAATCGAGAGAGTGTGTCTGCTAACACCATGTCCTTGCCTGGTCGATTACAAGTTAAAAGTTGTACCCGGTGAGCTTTAAGAGCATGCGTTGTAGCCTGGGTGGTGCCAAGTTGATGGGGTTCTGGTGTAGCATCACTAAGGGCTTGTGGTCGGTAACGGCTACAAACTGGCGACCATACAGGTAGGTATGGAAACGTTGAACTCCATGGACCAATGCTAGAGCTCCACGTTCGATATTCGAGTAGGCGGCTTGTGTTGGGGTTAGTGACTTAGAGGCTAAAGCCACTGGCTTGTCTTGTACTAGGGCAGCACCTAGTCCTTTCATCGAGGCATCAACCTCCAGTGTGAGAGGCTTGATGTTGTCATAGTAGGCAAGACACGATTCTGAGGTTACTAGGCTTTTTAGTCTCTCAAACTGTAACTGATGGTTGGATTCCCACACGAATAGAGAGCTTTCCTTCAGCAGGTCACGAAGGAGTTTAGATTCGGCACTGAGGTTCCTAATGTAGGGACTCGGGTAGGTCATCATTCCGAGAAATCGGTGGAGATCGTCCTTGTTCTTGGGCTTCGGCATTTTGGTGAGTGCCTGGAGTTTGGCAGGATCTGAGGTAGTACCTTTGTCAGTGTACATATTGCCAAAGAAGGATATGGATTTCTTCTTTATGTTGCATTTCTCAGAGTTAAAGACTAATCCGCTGCTTTTGGCTTTGAGCAAGAGTTTGGTGAGGTTTTCATCATGCTCCTCTTTGGTTCTTCCTGCCACACATACGTCGTCTGAAATTCCGGCGGTTCCTGGAATATCTTCCAGTATCTCATTCATCCGCTGCTGAAAAATGTCTTGGTTGACGGATAGGTCAAAGGTTAATCTCTTCCAGCAGTACCTTCCGAAAGGTGTTTCGGAATGTTGTGAGGATTTGGCTTTCCTCGTCAAGATGAACAGACCAGTATCCGGCTTTGGCATCTAACTTTGAGAAGAATTTGGCGTTTGCAAATGTGGGGTTTAATTCTTCCAAGGTAGGTATTTTCGTTGGACATCGTTTCAAGGCTTGGTTCAGACGAAATGGGTCATGGCATATGCGAAGGGATCCATTTGTCTTTGTGACATAGGTGGGAGACGAGCACCAATCTGTGGGTTCAGTCACACGGCGAATGACTCCCATCTCTTCCATACGCTTCAGTTCTGTCTGAATTTGGTCTTTCAGATGTATACTGCATTTGCATGGAGCGTCACAGTGTGGTTCGGCATCTGGTTTTAGAACGAGTTTGGCTGTACCTTCAAAATTACCTATGGTGTCAAACTGTCCAGGAAATTGTATCTTCAAGTTCTCTGCGCTGTTATATACTGCTGTCTGTTTCACTGCATCGCAGTTGATTGTGACTAACTTCAGGGTCTCGCATGTGGGAAGGCCAACATTTGCGGGACCGGGAACATCAACTACGTAGAAGAGTGTGTCCACTAGTTCCGAGTCTCTGAATTGACACTTCATGGAGATGGTTCCAACACACTTGATTGGTTCACCACTGTATGCAGATAAGTTGATATTGTGTATTGGGGTCAGTACCTCCTCATAGGGTTTGTATCCGCACATTTGGCGGTAGGTCCTTATGGGTAGAGTATTTCCTGAGGCACCAGTGTCCACTTTTAGTTTAAGGTAGTGCGTTCCTTTAAGTTGAGGTGGTTGAACTTTAAGGTAAGTAAAAGCACAGTCCCTGCTAGATTCTATCATGTCCATACACTGATTTGATACGGCCACGGAATAGTATTCCAGTGTGTACTCAGATTGTTGCTTCACATCATCGTGAAAGTTTTTGCCTTTAGGTCGACGGGTCGACGACCACGCAGTCGACTTTTGATCTCAGACAAGCCTTCCGTTTTGTGATACGGCACATCCCAGTGGCCTTTATTACTGCAGCCGTTGCATGTGTCGTTATATGCGGGGCAGGCCTTTGGTTCATGTTGGGTACCGCAGTTCCTGCATGTGCGGTTCTTCTGTTTCACACTATGAACTGGCATCTCTGTGGTAGGGGTTTGCAGACCTTTGACTTGTCTGTGACCTGCACTTATGGCCTCATATCTGCGACCCTCTTCTAGTGCACGACTAAGTTGATAGCCCTTATCTTGCTTCAGAAGATCGTGTTGTAGTGCTTCAAAGGGAGTACTGGCTATTAGCAATTCCAAAATTCTCTGTTGTAATTCATTATTGTCAAATTCACATTTCAGGGCAAGAGTTTTACACCTGGTCACAAATTCATCTATAGTTTTACCTCCTCTTTGCCTATATTGCATAAGTTCTAGTCTATAAACTCGAAAGTTCACTTGTAGTTTCAACTGTTTCTCAAAATATTCCCAAATTTTGGGTGGTTTGGTTTGATCCGTTTCAGATAGACCTGATGCATTTAGTCTCCGCAAACCTTCATTTCCTAGGCCTCTTTTGATTTTTAGGGCAATTTTGGTTTGGTCTGTAATCTCTTCATCAGCACAGTGGTGTCCCCCGCCGTGATATTGCTGGAATATTGCTAAAAGCGGCGTAAAACCAAACTCAGTCAGTCAGTCAGTCATCAGCACAGAAGAGCTGCATCTGCTGCTTGAATAGTGAAAATGCTTCACCTACATCAGGCAAGACCCAATCCATGCCTGGAATGCGCGCCATTACAGATTTGTGTACGGGTACCTCAGGTAAAAGTTCACTTTGCCAGAGTTCTAGCAGGTTGACAGGAGAGATTTCACTGTCTGGTGAGTCACTGCTCATTAGGGTTTTTGGTTACCGCTGCCACCATGTTATGTTCTGTTGACATAAATGAGGGAATGATGCTGGTAGGTTGAGATTATGAGTCTTAACTTCGAAGCACATGGTAAGGTTACAACAAAACTGATACACTGGAACTAACACGGAATAAGAGTATAATTAAAAAGTGTACCTGCTAAGTGGAAAGGGCATTTATTACAACAAAATGCGAAAGTTTTTTCCTTGAGAGATTGTCCAGGATGTATGCTTGATAAACATTAAGTAAGTCTCATCTGCCTAAAAATACATTGTTGCAAACGGTTTCATAAAAATGACTTCATCTCACAGATTTCATGAATGAAATCTGGTTTTGTATTTGCGAGTGAAAAACTCCCAATATCCAAACTCCCAACGCATTTCAGTTCCTAAGTCAGTACATGACTTCTCGACCAGGTATTTACAACTATTTCCGCTGAATATGCAGCCTCCGTTAAAGTGTTGCTTAGATATTACATCCCGACCTGCAAGATATCTCAAAGTGTTGAAACTAACTCGTGACGTTCCCGAATATCTGTTTATCGCAAACCTACGCGGCTCAGTCACACGGGATCGGGTCAAAAGTCAAAGATACTCGCAGTTAATATTTCGCCATAACATCGCCATCTTGTGACATATACACTTGCGTTGATATACGATAACACACGTCGCGGATACATCGCCCATACACACCACCTCGGAACTGTAAAGGTAGGTACTTTATTGAAAAGGAGAAAATCAAGGCTGGAGTTAATTTGTTGTGTTCGTTTGTTGTAGAGAGTGACAATTAGAAAGCTACTGCGTAATCCATTGTCGTGAAAACAGGCAATCGCGGTAATGTGAAGCGTACAGGAAAATAGTACCTTTGGTCATGCTGTTTCCGAGGGCGTGGCACAGCCGATAGTTTTCCTCATAACTAAGACTTTTATCTGTTTATTTGTGTAAATAGTCTCTTTTCACCTTACGTATCATTTATTTAGCACGACACAAACCTAATTCCCGTTAGTAAATACATGAGAATTCCATTTTCGTTTTCGTTTCGCGACTACAGAGAGATCTCAGTTTAACCCATTGGGCGTTGTGTCAAGTGTAATCCCTGAAATATATACTCTGCCTGAGACGGACTTGCAACTGAAAAATATTTTTAAAACTAAAATATATAATTACCGAATATAATCTGGGTTTGTTAATATTTTATTACAGCATGAGAAGTTCTAATTCTATTATAGCCAAAATTGTTGATGTTTCGAACGAAAATCGCAGTCTTGTTTACACGCGTTTGAGCTGAAAGACAAACATCACCCGTTCCGACTGACGTGGGCGTGTCTATCCGATGTGAGAGATTAGACTTGGGAACGATGTTATTTTATTTTTCAGATATATATACGGTTAATATTGTCTATCAATCTTTCAGGTTTATGATGGTTATATTTTCTTATTTAAAAAATAATTATTTAGTCGGGGACTGATCGAGAGGTACTGAGGCTGAAAGTCTGTCGGGGCCGTGGTGACGGATTGCAATTAGAGATAACGGGATGAACTCATGGTGCGTTACAGTTTAGCCGCAACAGCTTTAGTGCGCAGGGTGGTGACTTTTGACACCTAACCTATAACCTTACACTATAGTCTCTTTCATATTGTTGCATTCAGCAATATTCCTGGGGTGGTGGGGTAGCCTAGTGGTTAAAGCGTTGGCCCCTCACGCTGAAGATCCGGGTTCGATTCCCCACATGAGTACAATGTGTGAAGCCCATTTCTGGTGTCCCCCGCCGTGATATTGCTGGATTATTGCTTAAAGCGGCGTAAAACCATACTCACTCAGCAATATTCCTGCTGCAGGATACCCGTGAAGATCCGGGTTATAATTGGTCTTCAGCAACCCATGATTGTCGTAAGAGGCGTTTAAACGCTATCGGGTGGTCAGGGCCGCTGACTTGGTTGACACATGTCATCGTATCTCACTTGCGAAGATCAATACTCATGCTGTTGATCACAAGATTGCCTGGTCCAGACTAGATTATTTAGAGACCGCCTCCATATATACTGACGTACACCTGGTATTTTGGGACTATTCCCCCCTAGAAAATAAATATTTTTCTAGCAATGTTGTAATTGGATACGATATCTGGGGTGTTTTGGAAACACTTGCACAATGTTTGTGACAAGGCAGAATCAAAACACTTTTTAAATATTAATGCTGTTTTAAGGAAAATATTTTACCAAAGAATCAGGTGTGTACTTTCTTTTGAACGTCAATTTAGCTGGAATATTGCTGAGTGCGGCGTTTAATAACAAACCAACCAATCTGTTGTATGGCGGCGGTGTGTATATAATTGAATCTGGACCGGACAATCCAGTGACTGGCATCGTGGGCAATGTCCGGGATGGTGGTTATTCACTGTAACCTACACCCTTACACGAAAGTGTCTCGATTGTTGTTTTTCTATACTTGTTTTTGATAAACGCAATATTTATTAATATTCCTGCTGTATGGCGGCAGCCTGGTAATTATCAATTTTCGATAAGACGATCCAGTGATTGGCATTATCAGCATCGATGTACGAGGTTAAGACTCGATGACATGCATCAAGCAAGTCATCCTCGATAATCTCCAGGCTATACGTTCCGATTAATCTCCACTACACCCTGGATGCATCTACGGCTCGAGCCGATGATTTTATCACCTCCGTTTGCTGGGTCCGCATTCTCACAGTAGACAATCAGAAAGCCGCCGTTACAACCGAGCTTGCCAGTGTCAACAAAGATAGCGGTCCCAGCCGCAAAAGTTTGTTCGCAGTGCGACTCAGATTTTTGGGAAAATATACAGACAAATCGACAGGTCTGAAATCTTAAACAAATATATGCAAGAACTCCTACCTCTTTCAGAGTACCTCTGCAACAGTATATTATTATATGTTGTCAAGTTTAATCGGTGAGATAAAAAATTAAAAAACGAAAGTGAGTTGTGATTGGCACGCTCAACTTCCCAGCGTAGACACCTGATTGGATAAAAAGCCAACCAAGGGAGGTAATAAAATCATCGGCTCGAGCCGTAGATGCATCCAGGGTACAGTGGAGATTTATCGGAAGGTATACCCTGCATTTTATCGAGGATGCAAGCAAGTCAGCGAGAGACCACCTACTAGTATTAGTCTCCTCTTACGACCAGTATTGGCTGCTGAAGACCAGTTCTAACCAGTTCTTGTAAGAGGAGGGACGGTGGGCTAGCCTTGTGGTTAAAACTTTCGATCGTCACGCCTGGGTTCGATTCCCCACATGGTACAATGTGTGAAGCCCATGTCTGGTGTCCACCGCCGTGATATTGCTAGACTATTGCTAAAAGCGACGTAAAACTGAACTTACTCACTCTTGTAATAGGCCTCTGATGCGATCGGGACGGCAAAGGAAAGTAACACAGTCCAATTATTTTTTTGAATCTAAATATCTATTTCAGATGGCACAACCTCCCCCCTACGGCGATAAAGGCAACTTTAATAACCCTGGTTACGGCCAGCCACAGTACCCCCCACCCCAGGCCGGCTACCCCCCTCAGCCTGCCGGGTACGCGCAACAGCCAGCCGGGTACGCGCCACAGCCAGGGTACGCCCCACAACCAGTCGGGTTTGCTCAACAGGTAAATGCGAATAGTCAATAATAATTAGTTGTATAGAATCACGGCAATCCAAGTAGTATGATAACCATATTATGGTTAAATTATTGCCAACCTGATGATGTTGATGTTGATGATGATGACGATGATGATGGTGGTGATGATCATGATGACGATGATGACGTGGTGGTGATGATGATGACAGTGATGATGATGATGATGAAGAAGAAGTGATGATGGCAATGAAAGATGATGATGGTGACGACGACGACGACGACGACGATGATGATGATGATGATGATGATGATGATCTCTATTTCAGGGTCAACAGTCCTCTACCAACGTGGTCGTGGTTGGCGGTCAGCCCCAACAGACGGTCATTGTTGAACGGTGAGATTTGTCGCCGTAACCCATTTTCTTCAGATTTTTGTGATTAAAATATTCTAGAACCTCACAATCGTTCACATATTGTTCGTATCGTGATAATTTTTTGCCCTGTTTTCGACAGAATAAATGCCCAGTTTGTTGACAGAAAAAATGCCCCGATAGGTAAAACATATCCCTTTTAATCACACGTTTTTACACAGAATATGATGAAATGATGAACACACTGCCTAAGAAAGGTATTCACACCGTTTCACATGCTTTCGTATTTGCACGAATCCTGGATAAAAAGATGAAATGATTTACTTTCTGTCCCAGAAACGAAACGAGTACATATACTTATGGGGATAAATAAGTGAACGTGTATCAAAGTCGATATCTCGTTTGTTTCGGGAAGGGTCAGCGATGTAGCCTAGTGGTTAAAGGGTTCGCTCGTCACGCCGAAGACCCGGGTTCGATTCCCCACCTGCGTATAATGTGTGAAGCCAGTCTCTGGTATCTCCCACCGTGATATTGTTGGAATATTGCTATAAGCGATATGTATTCGAAACATACATATTCCGTGTCTGTTATGTACTATATATTTTCTTGCCACCATTATGTGTGGGTATAAGACGAGGTAAGGATGGGGCATCCTTGTTCTTTGTGAGTGAGTGAGTGAGTGGCTGGCGTTTGACTCATCTTCTCCATCCGTGAAGATCTGGGTTAGAATTGGTCTTCAGCAACCCATGTTTGTTGTAACAGACGACTAAGGGGATCGAGCGGTCAGGCTCGCTGACTTGGTTGGCACGCGATCATATCACAACTGCGTGACAATTGACTTGGCAGATGCATGTCACCAAGTTCGATGCTCATGGGATCACTGGATCATGTGGCCCAGACTTAGTTATTTACAATCTCCGTCATATGGCTGGAAAACTGCTAGGTGCGTCGCTAAACGACAAAAAACAAACATTCATCTTCTGTAGTGTCCGAGCGAAATGACTGCTTACTCCTCGTTAAATAGCCACAAGTCTTGTTACCCGGGTAACATATGGTATGCGTCTGTTTCAGCCAAGGGGTGAACCACGTGCTTCACTGCATAATATCGCTGTTCTTCTGGCCCTGGGTGATTGTGTGGATCATTCTGGTTAGTTCACTTTAGTTATTATTGATTGGAATATTGCTAAAAACGGCATAAACCCACACTCACTCAATCCTATGCACAAAGAAATGTGGGGCAGTCCTATGATAAGAAACGCACATTGCAGAGCGGATACACTCTCACCGAGATACGAATTTATCAGTCATTCCCAGATCCTCACACACGGACCTTGAACAGTTCTGTTGTTTATTGCCTATTACCAGTTATGGTATGCAATACTTATGTGAGCATTAGCGTAAATCCAGAAATAAAGGCTCATTGGACTCAGCCCAAAAGACGTGTACTGTAGAATCTGTTTTCTGTACGAGATTTAATAGTATTCTCTGCATTCTAAGCTAGATTTATCAATAATTGGCGTGGCCATCTAGGCTACGCCAGGAAAGATAACACATTGATATTCATCATATACAAACTCATATAAATGTGGCCCGTGAACATCCGGGTTAGAATTGGTCTTCAGCAACCCATACCTGTCGTAAGAGGCGACTGACGGGATCGGGTGGTCAGGCTCGCTGACTTGGTTGACATATGTCATCGTATCACAGTTGCGTGGATCGATGCTCATGCTGTTGATCACTGGATTGTCTGGTCCAGACTTTATTATTTACAGAGCGCTGCTATATAGCTGGAATATTGCTGAATGCGGCATTAAAAACAACAAACAAACCACTTATATATTTCCACCTAGTTTACATTATCCATGGAGTAACAGGAGCCTTTGACGCAACACGTTGAGTCAACTGAGTGGACATTAATAAAACTTTATTTTGCTTGACCACTGTTTGATGAGTCGAAACATTAACACCAAAGTACAATTTTCAGACCATCGGTATTATTGTTCTTAAAAACCTCTCCATCCATACACGACATAGACAAATAACACACGCACACGCACACACGCGCACACACACACACACACTCACTCTTAAGCTCACACTCACGCATACGCTCTCTCACACACACACACACACACACATACACACACGCGCTCACACACCTTCGTCATTCTTTCTCTATGTTCATGCAACTGTTCTACAGTGTCCAAAATATTATATTTCCAAAGATTTTGACTTTGACCTTGTAGTGTCTTCCAGTTTTGGTTGCTATTTTCAACCAATCTTCTGACGATTGGGTTTACCAGAGAAAACAACACAATATACAAGGAATGTCCACAAATACTAATATATTCAATACAAAGTACATATTAACAAGTCACCTTTTCTTAGCTTTAAGTTACGTTTGACAAAAGATTACCTTTCATAATTCCACCATTCGTTTATTATTAAAAAAGATATTTACGTCTCTCGAATATTGTCTGCAATATTTTCCCTATGGCATGATCTGTTATTTCAACATGATATTTCCTGATGACATTATTTTCCTTGTTTACATTGTATTTCGAATATGACAATGAACATCCTGTTTTTCAGTGTATCACAGATAACTGAACTCCTCCAATCCAGAAGCAACGATCAAGATGTCCAAAGAAGAAACCAAACTTTGCTGACATATGACAAATCTATGTATTTTATACCATTCATCTTTCATTGAACGCCTGTGAACTGAACATGACCAGGTCCTGTGTTATATTTGTCGAAAGAAATCGCTAGTCGACGGTCAGTTGTAATACGACTCAAACAGCTGACCCAAAATGTCGTTTCAAATGCTATCGCTGGTCAAACAGTTCAACAATGTTACTCTTTCAAGGACAGAATTAATCCCCAGCAAATCTACCAAGACATAGCAAAACGAATCTAATTAATAGCAAATTAGTAGGGAGAGATTTCAGGTTTTATATAAATACATTGAATGTGTTAAAGATCAGCGTTATGTGATTTAACTTTATTAATACATACCGTTTTCCCTCGATTAAACGCCCGGAGGTTTATTGCTTTTTAACTTCTTTACCCCTTTATAATCGTATATTGTTGATAACTACACATAGTTTAATCGAGGTCTGGCGTTTTAATCGAGAAAATACGATAATGTCGGTTAGGCAGTGAATAACATTTGTAAAGACTCAGCATATAACAAGTGTTACCCTTTACGTTTGAATTGACATCACCCGCATGTTCATCCAATAAGAATTACATCGATGTTATTGTTTGTGGTTATATTTTTCTACGAATATATATCATGCAGGATCACAATCTTGCAATATGGTGATATATTTTCAGCATTTCAAAACTTGTTGTTTGATTGCTTTGTTAATGAAAACAAACATTTCTGAATCAATAAAGGGGTTTTGTTAATTTTGTACTTTGCGTTTTATTTTTGTTGGTATTATGACATGTAATATAACTATCTCGTCATTAAATGTTGTTAGCGGTATCAAAGCGTTATATGATTAGGCTGATCTCCCTTGAAGACCTTAAGGGAGACAACCCGAGGTCACAACAGGGAATTTTCATTTCATGCTGGAGGTGTGAGTACATGTAGAGTGTATTTAATACCACCGAAAGGTAGGTTTAATTAATTAATCTTCAATCAGTTATGTTACTTAGTACTTTTATCTGTTAATATTTATAAAACTAGCCGAGTAACACCACAGTTGAAAATGTGCAATTGAATATGGAGTGGTGACACTGTTGCCAGAATTATCCCGAATATTTTCAGTAAGTGACACTTTAAATATCCCACGTAACATTGAAACACGATTTATTTGTGTATAATATTCCGGCTGTCAACACACATATATATCCGCAAATCTTCATAATAATTTACCCAGCAATTACAGAATATATAACGCCCATTCAATGTAACAGGGGCTGTTTATCATGGAACAAAGACACGGAGGGAAACTGTAGCATATCGGACTCTTCTGTTGTTGAAGTGTATGTGGATAGAGAACGCAAATTCATGGAACGGTCTCTAATGTAGTATGTTCATTTTAAAATAGTGATGACTGCAGCCAAACTGCACGAATCACCGTAAACACCGCAACTGTCCTGACAAATCAGGGGAGGTAACTCTAATAGAGATACACTCCGTCTCGACATAGGGATACCCAGAGATTTCCCTCTGGTTAGACGAACACCATACGGACTGTAACTCCAAAGCTGACACCGAATTTTAGAGTAGGGAAATAATAGAAACTGTACTTAATCCCAACCCAGAACACACGAACGCAACACTCACTTCCAAGCCAAACTGCATGGCAATCGACTGACTTGGCTCAATGATGTTGGGTCCGGATAGTGGAAAATAATATTCAGAAATTATGGAAAGAAATGCTGAATACATCCAACTGCATAAATCCACATTGACAACAAGAGGCAGTACTGGTACCAGTTTCGCTGATCTTCAGGTGTAATTTGGAAACGTTCTGATTGATTGGTTAACATCTACAGATTCTTATATTCAAACTAGTATTGTTTGGGAGAAAGTTTTCTGTGATGTGATATTTTCCGAGGTGTACCTCTATAAAACAACCCACCCGGTTGAGTTTAGTTTTACGCCGCACTCAGCAATTTTCCAGCTATATGGCGGCGGTCTGTAAATAATCGAGTCTGGACCAGACAATCCAGTGATCAACAGCATGAGCATCAATCTGCGCAAATGGGATACGATGACATGTGTCAACCCAGTCAGCGAGCCTGACCACCCGATCCCGTCAGTCGCCTCTTACGACAAGCATGGGTTACTGAAGACCAATTCTAACCCGGATCTTCATTGGTCTGAACTAAGATTGCCATCTGCAGTAAACTACGTTTATGACGAACTGGCAGATATAACGAACTGTTTTTCCTGTTTGTATTTCATGGCATGAATTGCAATGGATATAACTGGAAGTGCATTACATTATGTCGATACACCCCTTATCTCGAGTGTTTGATCCTCGATCTTGTTATCTTGTGGAGAGTTTCGGTGATCGATAGTTCAGTTAAACGTTTCACGCCTTATCTCGAGTGTTACATCGTCCATCTTGGTACCTAGTGGGACGTTTCGGTGATCGATGGTTCAGTGAATCGTTACACGCTTTATCTGAAATGTCAGATACTCACTCTTGTTACCTACTCGTCACAACTCGTTTTGGTAAATAACACCCATATTTCAGCAATTGTTTTCATTTTGAAAAGATGGATATTCGATTATGGGGAATCTAGTGAACGAATTGAAGTTATGAAGAGGAAAGTTTCGATTTACCGAATATGCGAGTGAATCTTATCAACCCTACAGTGCATCTACAGCTCAATGACTTGTTACTGTTGTTATCTGGAGCGTTAGAGCCTATTTAGTTGTTACCCATTGGAAAATTAATGTTCATTATAGTCTGTTTGCAGTGAAAACGTACCGATGAATTTCATTTTATACAAAAAAGTAAATCAAATAAAGTGAAATTAAGATTGCGAATCCTCATAATTTTACCTTGCCTATTAAACGTATAAATTCCAGAATAGTATTCAACTTAGGATAAAGTTGTTTAACACACGATCATAGATTCAAATCGCTATTATTGGTTTGTATTACAAGGGGGTAAGCGCAGTAGATGGAACAGTGAAACAAATGCACGTGCGGTACGTGATGAGCGTTAACTTACACCAACCCTACTTGTTCTCGATGTTTCATTTAAAGCGCATACCCCCTTGTAATACAAACCAATAATAGCGATTTGAATCTATGATCGTTTGTTAAACAACTTTTATCCTAACTAGAATAAAATTCTGAGATTTAAATGTTCAATTGGCAAAGTAAAATCATGAGGATTCGTACTTCTAATTTCACTTTATTTGATTTACGTTTTTATTTTAAAGTGAAATTCATCAGTACGTTTTCACTGCAAACAGACTATACATGTAGTGTTGGTTATCACTCGTATTGTGCAGATCAAAAACCTGTTGTGCAAAAGGAAAAGGCACCGATTATTTCCACGATCAAGACAAGACGAGCGGGAACATTTACTGTTGAGACACGCACATGAGTATATTGTTTACATTGCAGTTTCATCAGTCAGGAAATTGTACCAGCTGTTTATGTTTTGACTTAACAAACGTAAAACTAACAAACATACTTTTAAAGTTGAATTTGATGTTTCGTTTTTTATGAATTTCGAATAGTCCCCACAGCCCATCGATAATCGCTGACGCAAGCGAGATTATTCGATCAATCACTTCAGCACTACTGTTCATCTCGTGTTCCACAAATCGTCATTCTCCACAGGCCATATATAAATATATTGTGTTTCTCATTACCGCAGGATCCAAAAATTGGAACTGACCCTAAGATTTTTAAAAACATTTACACAAGAGAAAATGCAAATTTGACCCTCAAAATGTGCATGAAATTTTCACACTGCTAAGTTTTGATTTTCTATCGGAGGAAAGGTGTAAATTTCCACAGAAATCAAGGTGTTTGGGACATAAAAAAAAATATGTAAAAATAAAATCCGCCCGCCCGACCCATATTCTTTTTGAAAATGTTATGAGAAACAAGAATATTTTTCATGTGGCCTTAACTCAAGCGGCGAATCCTCAAACATTTAACACATATATGGAGCAGTACATGTATGAATTACTGTACCATCATATAGGTCAAGGTTGTAAGATGACGTGGACACGATGACTTCCACACGGTCAACACATGCGGAAGACGGTCCGGTACAAGAGGTAGTTCCTGGTGTTGGTCAGCTGGTTGATGTTCACTTCGTTACAGGTGAGCGGTTTGAAGGCCGGAATAGTTATGACACGACATTAACTGTGAGTGAGTGGGTGAATATGGTTTTACGCCAATTTTAGCAATATTCCAGCATTATGACAGCGGGAAACACCAGAAATGGGCTTCACACATTTTACCCATGTGGGGAATTCGGCGTGACCAGCGATCGCTTTAACCACTTGGCTACTCCACTGTCTCTACGGCATTAAGTAACTCAGTCAGAGGCTTCTGTTGAAAACTTAACATATTTGGATCATCAGTTATCTTCAAAGCATAACGTTACGGGTTTTGCTAGGATTATGTATTCAAAAACACACCTATTGTTGTGGAAAATCGTGTCTGGCACGTTAATGCAGTTTGATTGTCATATATATTAGAACAATGATTTGGTGAAGTGAAGGAAACGGCATTACAAGTTCAATTAAAACACTCCAAACAATACAATGGTGTGATCCAACAACATGACAAAATTATATAGTATGACCAGAAATTATTGAGAATTTTAGGAATATGTTTAATTGGATTTCTAGTATAAACAACCTTGACCAGCTATCAAGTGCTTTGTTTCATTCAAGAGAGACAACTCCGTTAATCCTTTTTCATTAGTTTGTGAAGAGTTATCCCCTTTGTTTACTTGCTAGTAGGGCTGCAACGAATACACTATGTGGTGAATATGATACGTATCATGAATATTGGGTAACGAATACGAATAATTATTCACGAATACAATATTGTAGTTAAGTGATTGATGTACAATATGGAACGCCCATGTTGACAGTTTTGATTTGTCACAGCAATAACCAGTCATCTCATGACACTCAAATTTGGTATGTAATAGTTATAATCGACAGTACCATGTGTGGCCTTGGCAAACTAACATGACTTGGGCTACTGCAAGGCTAGTACATATTCCATTACTGCATATCTCACTTTCAAAAAGTACACAAGGGTTCAAGTAAAACATGCTTCCTTAAAAAAACGTAAATATTCGTTAATATTCGGTTCTGGTGACCACGAATAACGAATTGAATTCATGAAGGGCTATGGTTCGATTCACCGAATATGCGAGTGAATCGTTACAGCCTTACTTGCTAGCAGACGACATTTTCAGTGATTCTCAGTATGGATGATTTAGAGAAGAGCAAGTTGATTTTAGAGTATTATAACAAGGACATCAGATCAGCTAAAGTGATTTCAAGTAGAACAGGCATCCCTTTGTCCACTGTTTATCGTGTTTAGAAAAATATTGCAAATGGATATGGCATTGAGCACCAGGGAGGCGCAGATAGGCCCAGAAAATTGACTGTCGGTGACAGGAGGCGGCCTGGTATTCTTGTTTCTAAAAACAAACGAAGGAGTTTAGAAAACTTGAGGCTGGATATGATTGATAGAGGAACTGTGGCTGTCTGTAAGGAGACAATTAGAACTGAGCTGCATGCAATGGGTTTGCAGAAAAGTCGAGGAATTCCATCACCGATCATGAAACCTGAACAAAAGGAGCGAAGGTTGAACTGGTGCTTACAGCATAGAAATTGTAACTGGGGCAATGTGATTTTCTCAGATGAAAGTTCTGTGTGGCTGTTTCCTAATACACTGAAATTCTGGACCAAACAAACTGAAATGCCTTTGTATCAGCACCCAAAGTACAGTCCAAAATTTAACGTGTGGGGTGGCATATCTGTGTTAAGGGCAACGCCCCTCTGTGTATTTGAAGGGAATATGAACAGTGAGCTGTACATAGATATTCTCGAGGGACATTTACTTCCATCTGCTCACGTGTTCTGTGGATTATTTTTATTTTCCAGCAGGTCAACGACCCAAAACATCGTTCAAAGCTTTCACAAGCCTGGTTTTGGACCCAAAATATGATATTATTAGATTGGCCAAGCTATACCCCTGACCTAAATCCAATAGAAAATGTTTGGGGACTTATGAAGGAAAGTGTCAATAAGAAAAATCTGGCAAATATTGCTAAAATGAAAGAAGAGGTGGTCCGATATTGGAACAGCATGGACCACGACATCTTTGATCAGTAGTATGCCCCACCGCATTGAAGCCTGCATTGCTGCCCATGGTGACTTGACAAAATACTAACTGTTCACCTGTCTTTGAATCTGGAGTTATGTTCTGCTAATATTCACATTTAATACGTGAGTAATGAGTGAAAAAAATAAATTGTTTTACAATCTTTAAATTCTCAATAATTTCTGGTTGTACTGTATTTCACCAGGTTAAATTTCACTTGAAACTCATAGCGATGAGATAAATATTGTCGAGTGATGACTGATAAAACCTCTTCCGTTTCAGCGGAGCCTCAGCCAGACATACACAGTCTGTTCCCTCCATGTCCGAGAGAGGTGACAGAGGTTCCCCAGCGCTCTCATTCAGGTGGGTAGGAAGTGTATTAATGCCACAGTCTAAATCCATTTTACCTTCAGGTGAGGTGAGGTGAAATTGGGTTTAACGTCGTGCTTGAGAATATTTCGCGCATATGACGACGTGCATGCGTGTGTATGTGTATGTGCGGCTGCTTGTACTAGCCCAGACTGAAACTGGTTTTATTGTGCTAGCCCACTGAGGTACCATGCCGCAGTGAAGCATGAATACCCCACTCAGACACATTATACTGACTCCGAGCCGACCAGTCCTTGGTGTACCCATTAATGCCGAGCGCCAGGCAGTGACCAACAAGTACCATATTTTAACGTCTTTTGGTATGACGCGGTCGGGGATCGAACCCGCGACCTTCCGCTCTCCGGGCGGACGCTCTGACCACTACACCACGGAGGCGGTCTTTTTACCTTCAGCGTAGAAGATACTTACATCATCGTAGCTGCAACTTACAATTTCGTAAAAGATACTTTTATCAATGTGGAAGATACTTACATCTTCGTAGATGATGCCTACATGTGATTGAATGAATGTTACTGTTCCCGAAATATTGTTAAGTAAGATAAAATGATCCTATTTGGCCCATAATCATTTTTTTGTAATGATGTCATGAATGTTCTGTACAAAAATGCAAATCAGATACTTCTATATTGAGCAGCAATTGCAACCTGTTTTTGTCCGCTGCAACAAGGGCCTAGATTTTGGAAACTCTCTTAGCGCTAAGATAGTCGTAAAGTTAATGTTAATGTATGACACTTACGACTATCTTAGCGCTAAGAGAGCTTCGAAAATCTAGGCCCAGGTTATTATTACCTGAAGCTGCGCTGGGTGCAAGTAGGTTTCATCTAATTAAATCGATGGTGTCATTAAATGAGAATAGGATGAACTGGCCAAGACAAGGCACTGTATACCTGTTCTGCTTTTGCACCAGATCCTGACCCAACAATGACGGTGACGGCGCAACATCATCTACCACCATACCCCACCAACATCCCCATAATAGTACCTCTGGATTCAGAAGACGCTCCAGAGAGCGACCAGCGATACAACGGATTACCCCCGTATCCACTGTCCATTCCGCCGATCACACCTACTGACTTGGGCCTATTGAACACGTCCGGGGACATATCGGAACCTTCTGACAGACATACAGCTACGCCTCTGTTTGATGACCACGGACAGATGCCTTCAGTGTGTAATGGAGGAGATCCTATGCCGGTGTCACCCGTATGTACAATGCAGGTGCTTCTCGAGCCAGCTTCGGACGTTCCAGCGGTAGGTCACTCTCAGACGTATATAGAAGTGCTATTTATTAGTAGTATCAAGGACAGTATTTGGCAACACTTATTTCAGCTGTTGAGGTTTTTGAGTGGAGTCAATAAATTCAGTGGGAAATGACATGGGAATATTCAAATTTGTTATTTTATGACCGAGGTTTATTTAAAACCCCACTGAATTTGATAATTTTTGCGATTAATCTGTGGCTATTTTAAACAAATTGTAAGGACAAATATCAACATGGCTAGTTCAGTGGTCCTTGTGGGCACATCTAGGTAAAACTCAGTTACACCGACCTAGTATACATATTTGATAACTTGATTAATATGCGGCCTTTGTAAACACATTGTAAAGAAATATACTACTCACACTTTGCTAAGGATCACAAAAGTTCACAACTTTTCTTAAACGTAGATTCATAATTTGAAATTGTATCCATTTAAAACTGGATAAATGATAATATGGTAATCTCTCTTTAGGCAAACAGTCACTTTATTCTAACCTTTTGCACTTGATAGATGAGTAACCATAAAAATGGATTTCATGGCACCAATCAACCATTTTGCAAATGATGGAACGAGTCATTGACAAGTACACAACAACTGTCAATAGCAGGTATGGGATCCACAAGATGAAATGACACACTGAAACCTAGGATCCATGCTTACAATAAGCTTAGATATTTCAATCCAAGTTGACCCCACATCATAGTTTTCTGCTGAAGCCATGATTTGATCCTTAGCAAAGTGTGAATAGTATATCTCAAATCATTCGCTCATTGGAGATTCGAAAAGGTCTGTGAAGGCAACCCGCCGGCCCCAGTGTCTGACTGGATGGCCCATGACTTTGATCTGAGGCGTCGCTGTGTAATTGTCTGCCCCTATAACAGATGTTAAATCTGTGCATGGGTCCCAGTCAGACACCTTCGAGCGTGTGTTCGAACCTTTCAATTGGTCCACTCCAGTTATATTTCTACTAGTAGGTTTTTCTTTCACGGAGCAGTAGCCATATGAAACCTGCATCATTCTTCATGATACGTTTTGTTAGGGTATTAATAGATACCACGATGCATATATGAAATGGTAGATGCGTCAGGAGAAAATGTGGAAGATGAGAGTATATCGGATCTGTTTCTATGGTATTGAATATTCAAAGAATTGTTGCTAAATTTGATTACGTCAATTTAGCCATCACTCATTCCTGCAAAAGTCTGTAATAATTAATTAATGTGAAGATGAGTAGAAGTGTGTAAGAAATACAAAACACACGAAATGGGACTTTGTATTTATATTTTAACAGCAATAAATAATTAATTACAAAAATAACAAAGTGTACAAGCATCCTTGGAGTTCTAAGTGCCATTCAAATACTTTTCAGAGAAAATAATTGAAGCTGGAGAATTACTTACTTGAAAATTAAGAGTGAAAAAGTCAACGGAGATTAGTTTCTTTTTTCCTCAGTATACATATCCCAGAAGTCAGGTCAGGACAGTTTGTGAGAAGTTATCTCCCTTGAATATATTGTTGTGACCTTCGACCGACCCTCTGAGAAAAATACATTTATTTATCATGTACATTATTAAGGGACCGTTCATAATTTATGGCTGGGGGATGGGGATGGGGATGATGTTGATTTTAAGGGGTGGGGTTTGGGTGGTGGTGTCATAATTTACTTTGTGCATAACTTTTCGGAAGGGGGGGGGAGGAAGAATTCACATTGTACCTGCTCCTGCATAAAAATCATCACTACCCACACCACCCCACCAGCCAGAAATTATGAGCGGTCCCTAAATAAATACGTTGCAAAGTGCATGACAGTTTCAAACATTCTATTTGATATTAAACAGACTTCCCCTGCAAACACCCGTCATCGGTGTCGGAGAGGAACACTACCACAGATCGTCTTGGCACGGTATGGTGAGATGCGGTCGTTATAACCGATTTTACTGTATTAGCGTACGTATATGATGGAGCTTCAAACTGTCATGTTTAAATTCTTGATTATATTCAGGAAAATGAATTAGTAAATCTTTCCGTCTGAACCATCTCAAAGTCAATAAAAAATGTCTATGTTTTCCATCAGACAGAACCATACTATGGGTATAGTACGTAAGCCATTATTAACCAGTAGGGCTTTTGTAATTGCGGTAGGGTGAACCATTGCCTTGAGTACAGGTTAAAATCTGTGATTGGATCTGTTTCCCAGACGTCGACAGGAGGGCATCAATCACCTGCTGCATCTGGTGGTGAGCATCCTCTTCTGTCCTTGGCTAATCTTCTGGATGGTCTTGGTGAGTACTGTATAGCTACTGCATCTCCAATTGATAATCCTATTTTCGCATGACTGATCTTGTTGAGTACTGAGTAACTAATGCATCTGCTATTGATAATCCTATTTTCCGCATGACTGATCTTGTTGAGTACTGAGTAACTAATGCATCTCCTATTGATAATCCTATTTTCCGCATGACTGATCTTGTTGAGTACTGAGTAACTACTGCATCTCCTATTGATAATCCTATTTTCCGCATGACTGATCTTGTTGAGTACTGAGTAACTACTGCATCTCCTATTGATAATCCTATTTTCCGCATGACTGATCTTGTTGAGTACTGAGTAGCTAATGCATCTCCTATTGATAATCCTATTTTCCGCATGACTCATCTTGTTGAGTACTGAGTAGCTACTGCATCTCCTATTGATAATCCTATTTTCCGCATGACTGATCTTGTTGAGTTGAGTACTGAGTAACTACTGCATCTCCTATTGATAATCCTATTTTCCGCATGACTGATCTTGTTGAGTACTGAGTAACTACTGCATCTCCTATTGATAATCCTATTTTCCGCATGACTCATCTTGTTGAGTACTGAGTAACTACTGCATCTCCTATTGATAATCCTATTTTCCGCATGACTCATCTTGTTGAGTACTGAGTAGCTACTGCATCTCCTATTGATAATCCTATTTTCCGCATGACTGATCTTGTTGAGTACTGAGTAACTACTGCATCTCCTATTGATAATCCTATTTTCCGCATGACTGATCTTGTTGAGTACTGAGTAACTACTGCATCTCCTATTGATAATCCTATTTTCCGCATGACTGATCTTGTTGAGTACTGAGTAACTACTGCATCTCCTATTGATAATCCTATTTTCTGCATGACTGATCTTGTTGAGTACTGAGTAACTACTGCATCTCCTATCGATAATCCTACTTTCCGCATGACTGATCTTGTTGAGTACTGAGTAACTACTGCATCTCCTATTGATAATCCTATTTTCCGCATGACTCATCTTGTTGAGTACTGAGTAGCTACTGCATCTCCTATTGATAATCCTATTTTCCGCATGACTGATCTTGTTGAGTACTGAGTAACTACTGCATCTCCTATTGATAATCCTATTTTCCGCATGACTCATCTTGTTGAGTACTGAGTAGCTACTGCATCTCCTATCGATAATCCTATTTTCCGCATGACTCATCTTGTTGAGTACTGAGTAACTACTGCATCTCCTATTGATAATCCTATTTTCCGCATGACTCATCTTGTTGAGTACTGAGTAGCTACTGCATCTCCTATTGATAATCCTATTTTCTGCATGACTCATCTTGTTGAGTACTGAGTAACTACTGCATCTCCTATTGATAATCCTATTTTCCGCATGACTGATCTTGTTGAGTACTGAGTAACTACTGCATCTCCTATTGATAATCCTATTTTCCGCATGACTGATCTTGTTGAGTACTGAGTAACTACTGCATCTCCTATTGACAATCCTATTTTCCGCATGACTCATCTTGTTGAGTACTGAGTAACTACTGCATCTCCTATCGATAATCCTATTTTCCGCATGACTCATCTTGTTGAGTACTGAGTAGCTAATGCATCTCCTATTGATAATCCTATTTTCCGCATGACTCATCTTGTTGAGTACTGAGTAACTACTGCATCTCCTATCGATAATCCTATTTTCCGCATGACTCATCTTGTTGAGTACTGAGTAGCTACTGCATCTCCTATCGATAATCCTATTTTCCGCATGACTCATCTTGTTGTTGAGTACTGAGTAACTACTGCATCTCCTATCGATAATCCTATTTTCCGCATGACTCATCTTGTTGAGTACTGAGTAACTACTGCATCTCCTATCGATAATCCTATTTTCCTCATGACTGATCTTGTTGAGTACTGAGTAGCTACTGCATCTCCTATTGATAATCCTATTTTCCGCATGACTCATCTTGTTGAGTACTGAGTAACTACTGCATCTCCTATCGATAATCCTATTTTCCGCATGACTCATCTTGTTGAGTACTGAGTAGCTACTGCATATCCTTTGGAACATGCATTCTTTTGTGTCCCTTGATGAGAACCCGGTAGCAGCTACTATAATATTAGTCATCTCAATCTGTCACTGACTGACTTCGTTGAGTACTGAGTATTTACTACACCCCCTATTGAGTACTCTCTTCTGTCACTGGGGCGGTGGGGTAGCCTAGCGGTTAAAGCGTTCGCTCGTCACGCCGAAGACCCGGGTTCGAATCCCCACATGGGTACATTGTGTGAAGCTCATTTCTGGTGTCCCCCGCCGTGATATTGCTGGAATATTGCTAAAAGCGGCGTAAAACCAAACTCACTCACTCTTCTGCCACTAACGTTATAAGCAGCATGTTGTGGCTCTGGCTCATCTAGCAATAGTTTTCACAAATCTCAGCAGATTGCCTTTTGATATCGAATATAACACTTGTCCATAACAGTTTAAAAAGTCAGAGGACTGCTCATGATAGTTTAAAACAGATTATCGACTAATGTTGATGTAATTATTGTCAAATGACACGTGAAATAATTCGATTAATCGTAAAATTACTTATTTCCAAAAATAACCTGTTTTGAGTTCGAAAAATACAGCTTGACATTGGCAGAGATCATTCGTGACCCACTCGTGTAATTCCGCGACAAGCCGAATACCGTTGCAGGTCACGGAAAGGGGCGAGTGGTGACGAATGATAACAAGCATCGAGTGAGGGACGAGTCTTCTTGCAGGTTACGGAAAGGGCGAGTGGTGACGAATGTGGCAGAGATATGAGTGATAGCATATAATTGTGACGTCATGGTAACCGATGACGTCACAATGTTCAGCAGAGCAATGAGATTCATTCAATTGCGATATCTCCCAAGCGGTATGTCCTGTGGAACCCAGTATTAAAGATAATCTCCTCCCTCCTGTGTAAATCACCAGGACCCATTCCTAACAAAGCTTTATCAAAACAGAACAGGGATAGGATGTGGTCTGTTATCCTCTAGTCTTCCTATAGACTGGTTTACCTGTCTTACAGCGCTTGCGTATTTCAAGCTTTGTTTTGCAGTTAGGACTCGAGGTGAGATTTACTCGACTGGTTTCCTTCTACGATTATGCTATTTTCAGTGTCTTCATGAGCGCACCTCAAACCGGAAGTCGAGACGCAAGGGGACAAAGCAATGGTTATAGACAGCAACAAGGAAATATAGACAGGAGATGCATGTGGATTATATTTTACATTCCGAAACATCATGTTTTCTGGGTACTGCATCTATTCAGATTAGGCACACAACACTAAAATGTACATATTGTTTTTAATAAACCGTTATTTTTCCTACCTTGTTGCCTTCCTTTGGAATCAGTATGTACCTACTAATATTTCAACGGTATTACCAGAGGGGACCCGGATCAGTTACGGACTTCAGACGTCCACCTTTTCGGTATCTCCACGCGAAGTTCACAACTACGTAAAGCGTACATAAATAGAGAATACTACACGAGGTCTCATTACATACGAATTATACGAAACGAGTGTCCTTCCTATGGTATCTGACCGAGCGAAAGCGAGGTCAGATAACATAGGAAGGTCACAGATTTCGTTACATACGAATTATACGAACGAGTGTCCTTCCTATGGTATCTGACCGAGCGAAAGCGAGGTCAGATAACATAGGAAGGTCACGAGTTTCGTATAATTCGTATGTAATGAGACCGAGTGTGGTATTTTATTTATTACCCACGTCTTACATGCATTAAATTGACAAAATAGCGTATTTTTGTTAATATTTTGGTTTCAAACCGAAACCGGTTTCATAAAGAGGTTGCGGAAGAGTTTTGTACTGTAGTACAATATTTGCATGACGTCACACTGTAATGACGTCACTGCCTTTGTAACCGACGTCACGATGCATGTCAGTTGTCATCGCCTCGTACAGCCTCCTACAGTAAACTACTCCGTAGCACCCCGTTTCTTGGTTTGCAGTTGCTTCATTCGGCTAACATCACTGGTGGAAACATTGCGTTTATGTTTTTCGACGGATATAATGTCTCAGTTCGACTCACAATTAAACAGCGACACGGCAACGTTCGCGATGTTTACATTCCCACAATGCATTTAAGTTGTAGAATGAATGAATTCACGTGTTTGTTATGAATGAAAAAATAGTTACGTCAGAATGTGACCTAATTGAGAGGTCATCGGTTATCCAATCAAATCGTTAGAATATCAGGTCAAGTCGTTACGACACAGGTCAACGCGATACGACACACGTGTGACGTACGAGATTAGTATGCAACTACCCATACGTTGACCACGTGGGTAATAAAAGGCAATACAAGTGAGGTGAGGTGAAATTGGATTAAACGTCGTGCTTGAGAATATTTCGCTCATATGACGACGTGCATGCGTGTGTATGTGTATGTGCGGCTGCTTGTACTAACCAAGACTGAAGCTGGTTTTACAGTGCTAGCCCACTGAGATACCATGCCGCAGTGAAGCATGAATACCCCACTCAGACACATTATACTGACTCCGAGCCGACCAGTCCTTGTTGTACCCATTTATGCCGAGCGCCAGGCAGGGACCAACAAGTACCATATTTTAACGTCTTTTGGTATGACGCGGTCGGGGATCGAACCCGCGACCTTCCGCTCTCCGGGCGGACGCTCTAACCACTACATCACGGAGGCGGTCGAAGCATGGATACCCCACTCAGACACATTATACTGACTCCGAGCCGACCAGTCCTTGTTGTACCCATTAATGCCGAGCGCCAGGCAGGGACCAACAAGTACCATATTTTAACGTCTTTTGGTATGACGCGGTCGGGGATCGAACCCGCGACCTTCCGCTCTCCGGGCGGACGCTCTAACCACTACACCACGGAGGCGGGCAAAAGGCAATACAAGCCTTGGCAGTATTTCAGTGCTTACTTGAGTGAGTGAGTATGGTTTTACGCCGCTTTTAGCAATATTCCAGCAATGTCACTGAGGGGGACATGAGAAATGAGCTTCACACATTGTACCCATGTGTGGAATAGAATTTGGGTTCCTTTTTTGGGTTGTTCTCCGTCCGCCTTGAATTTTCATTCTTGAAATGATAGAAAGTTTTATTTTCTCAGTTTTCGCTGCTGTGGAAAAATTTTGTGCGATGTGATGCAAAAACGTTCACACTTACGTCAAACGAGGTTGGTTGTCTCTCTCTTTATCTATATCTAAAAATCGAAACAAAACCAAGATAAATTGTTGATATCCAATATTGTTATTATCCAGATATAACTTGTTATAACTATTATAAAAATATACAACATTATGCATAAATGTGAACCTTCACATGTATTATGGAGCGGCATTAATATAAGCCAATTAGGCTTCTTTGCCAATCTTTTTCTTTCTTCTTGAATGGAATAAAATATGTTTAAACGATATCTAAAAATAAACATGTTTCAGAAGCAAGCCGAACCGATGTGCGTCATAAATCAGTTTTTAGAAATATCGAGACATCCGTATCGAGTTAAAACAGCATGAATAATGATAAATTATGAAGGATTTTGCCGGGACCGAGATGTTCTATCGAGACAACCGAGATATCGAGTTATCAGAGTTCGACACAACGGTGCTCGTCTGTATTACCAAGTTCACAAAAATACTGAAAATACGTTGCACAATTAGTTGAAAAATATTATTTATATATTATTTTTTAAAAAGCATCATTAATTGTTTTCGCTTGCCCGCTCTCTTGAGGTTGGAGATGAAAACATGAAAATATGTATGGCCGAACAGAGTCAAGTTTGGAAATCTGAACCTTTTCTCGTTCTGCGAGCATTCGTAACTACTCGCCTCTTTCCGTGACCTACAAGAAGACTCCCGAGACGCCACCCGGCTTGCCGGAATGACACGAGTAGTTACGAATGGTTCAGTGTTTTCTGTTCGTCCGAGATTTTGAGGAAGCACGTGCTTTACTTGCGGCGAAGCTCCGCACGAGAGACTCCCCAGATGTCAATGTAAGTCAGCAGACAGACGGCCGTGGTACATCAAACAAGCTAAGCACTGCACAGTTATAAATGTAACACTTTAATCTCACTGGTTATTTTTAATACGAATGAGGTAAATCTAAAACCAGTGCACATTGAGTCATTGTTTAGGTTTGGGGCAAATATCGGGTCCCTTGTGTTTAATGTTATTCGACATGGTTGTTCAGTCAATTGTATTCAGTCCCGAATGGGGGCGATGGGGTAGCCTAAATCGGCCTTCACACGGCAAACTAAAGTTTGACAACACATATTGTCAAACTCGAGTTTGAGAGTGTTAACATTCCAACAACTCGCCACCAACATTATTTTCAGAGTTGTCAAGCTGTTGTCGAGAAATAGGATCGGTCTCTATTCTCACCAAATTTTCCATCAAACTTTCGGTGTCGTCAAACTCTTTGTTGTTCAGAAACATCCAATCGCAGTCAACGAAATTGTCACGTGACCGCACCGCTAGAGACATGGCACTCAAATGACACGAAAGTTTGACAACATGTTTGACGTGTGAAAACGCGAGTTTGACAACTTTTCATTTTTTAACATGTGTTGTCAAAGTTGAGTTTGCCGCGTGAAGGCCTCTTAATGGTCAAACAGGTTCAGGACACCCCTAAAAACAAGGATAATGAGTCATTCCGCTGATTATCCCTAAAAATAGGGATGGAACTAGCCCCACCACATTCTGGAGACATTTTACGTCCAAACATCCGGCGAAGCAAGTGGACCCCATTCAGTGCAAGTTATTTCAACACATTGTTCTACTTCCCGGTGCTGGCCATGTTGAAATCAACTTGCTCAAGTGCCTTTTCAAAGTGCTATGGGAACCCCCTCCTAAAGCACATTGCACTGTTATGCGGATTCAGAACCCCACATGCATTGGCATATGCCCAGTCTTGTAGCAATCATCACAAGGCATGGCAGATGTATCTAATTTTGCTGTATTCATGCCTCAGGGAAATCCTATTTCAATACTTGACCCGTAGACCAAGCAACCGTCAAGACGTTGATGTAACTCCCGCCGATGTTGATGAGTGGATTGCAGGATTACGTTGCCCAAACTACCGATTCATCTGGAGTATTCTGAATGAGTGGCTTATCCCCATCTTCATCTTTCGGTGTGCAGTCAGGAGGAACAATCCACGTGCCATGCTCGCTGCCAGGGACACGGCTTCAACACTGTTCTATGGTACCAACGCCACAACATATATGGAGCTGATGTTCCGAGATAACCGAATGCGTATGAGAGCTCCCCAAGAGGTCCTCGATTCCATCCACCATGTAGAGGTACTGTCGTTGAGTGGACATACCAGCAAAGGGGAAGGTGGTGACTTTATCCTGGAAGGCCGTAACCGTAGAGTGAAGATGTGGGTCCCCCCAGGCGTTCCAACGGAGCACACGTGGCTCAGGAGTTGTCGTAATCTCGACAGAATGGAAAAGGTAACTATAACGCTTACATAATCCATTTGGATAATCAAATTCAATGCAACATAATGAATGAATAACTGCTACCAACAGAATTAATGTTATCGCGGTATCATTGCTCAATGACATTTTTTTTTTTTAAACCACGTGAGTCATTGTTGGATATAAATATAGTATTATCTCACCATTAGAGATCCGCCATATAGCTGGGATATTGCTGAGTGCGGCGTAAAACTAAACTCACTCACTCACCATTAGAAACGTGGGTCGCGGTGGTGTAGAGGTTGCGCGTTCGGATGTGTGACATGCCTGTTCAGAGTTCGAATCCAGATGCAGACCAAATTATTTTTTTCAATATTTTTATCCACATGACGTTGTGGCTATCATTCAACAAGAGACAAACACATCATTAAAAAAATATTGTGAAAAATATGTATGATTCCTATGTTAGACACTTATGGGATGATTGTTGTGAACTGGACAGTAGTATGAGATGTATTTCAGATGGATGATGCGCTTGACATGAATGCCTAGGCATGTCAAATGGACCCAGTAGTCAGTTGCCGCTCTGGTGTTGGCATCCTATCCAGTACTTGTGGCGATTGCTGTCATGATCAGCTTTGCTGTCATAGATTATGCTGCACAGACGACAGTCATCTCTGTCCATGGTTGTCGTTTTGGTATGCCTCCGTTTCCTCGTTGTCATGTGACAAGTGCCAGTGGTCTCATTATGAGGCTTGATGGGTGTGCTAGTGCAGGTGCTGGGCTGAGATGTCGAACTGGTGCTTGGAGTGTTAGTGGTGCTAGTGCTTGTGTTGGTCATGCAATGTGGGTTAGCAGTGGCGCTGGTGGTAGTTATTGTCTCATTAC